AACTGCTGTAAGTTGAGTCTGCAGAACATCCAGGAATAAAGTGGAGAGTCTAGAAGGCTTCTGTTCCTTGGGAAAAGCTGTGTGAATTCCTTTTTCTAAAACTTATCTCTGCCTACCCAAATGACAGCACTCATTGATTTCTTAAAGAGAAACATCTGTGGCTTCCATTTTTAATGGGAGACAAGGCACTGTGCTTCAGTCAGAAAAAAGATTCAAATTACCTGGATTGAAAACAAAGCCTTGCACATGAAATTTTGTTGGTTTGTTTCATTTTTTAACCAATGCCAGAGACTCCAGAAATCAAATTAAGGATATGTGACAGGATCACCCAATTTCAGAGTAATGAAATTCTTAATTATTTTGACACAAATACACGAACTGTTGATGGGACCTGCTCTTTTTCAGTGTTCAGTAAAACGAGACTAGCTTTCACTCATGAATTAATGAATTCATTTATTTATAATTACAGATTCTCTAATTTTTTGCATTAATAAATAAGTGACTAGCAAGTGATTTGCAAGTAATTTCCACTCAGTATTAAGTATGTGAAAGCTTTCAATGCACTAAATTTACCTGCTAACTTATGTTGTTTTCTGTGATGAAGCGGCCCTTTGTGGTGCTCTTGAGTTTGATTGCCTGCTGGAGAAGAGGACAAGAGAGATGACTAATTTGTCAACTCCCTCCAAGCACTGACCACGGCTCTGCTTCCCGCATAGTACCCTCCATGCATCACTAATTTTTTTCACTGACTTAGATCAGTTACCTCTGTGTTTTTGTTAATTCAGAGAGAATCTTCACTTATCAAAGTGCAAGCTGAGTTGAGTAGCTAGACAGTGGTTTAACTGAAAAGACTTTTGTAATCATGGCCAGAAGAAAACGGTAACATTATCAGGACTTGACATATCAGGTTAAGGAGTACTGCACAATTTGAGTCACACATATGACTGAGTGTGTAGCCCTGATAACCTTTGCAGCACTGCTGGTTCTTTCTGCAAGACCCACAACTTTTCTTTGTAACCTAGTTGTAAACCCCATGATAACTTTGTTGTTCTTGTTAACAAATTCTTGCTGAATTCACATTATGCTTATGAGTTTAGAGTTTCTACTTGCAAAATGATTAAGTGTGTGGAATTATTATAGTTGCAGAGATTGGGAAATTAGGTTTGTACCTATATTTGGGCAACTAGACAGGGAAAAAAAAGCAGACAGTACTTGATTTGATGATATCAGTTGGAACCAGTTGCTCTTCATGTTGGCTACAAGAAAAAATATTTAAAAGATGTTCATTCCAATCTAGAGAACCAAATATAAAACTTAAAACCAGTGAGTATTAGTGGGATTTGGGAAAATATAAGGTTTGCCTCTTAGAGGGAGTGTTTTCTATCATTTTACAAGTGTGGCTAATTATAGTTTTGAACAAATATATTTCAAAATTAAACTTTTAAAAGCAGTCTAGTTATATGTTTCTAATAAAATAATTCCATACCACCTGGAGCCTGGGGAACATGAGGAGGAAAGTTTGCAAATCAGCCACTTTTGATTAAAGAAGGGACCTGTAAATTTAGGTCTGACAGCTGGGAAATGAACAATAAAACAAGGGCTCCCTACAGTGAAGAATATTCAGCCACTAAGATGATGACAAAGAAATGCTTAGAATAAGTAAAGTGGGGCTCTGGCATATTCAGTACCCCTTCAGTTTTGCAGTGAAGAGGAGTGGGATGGGAATCCTGCATCAGGGTAACTGGAAGGGTGCCTGAGCTGAATTGTAGTCCTGAGCTGGATTTTTACTGCCCCTCACTCATGAGCTGTGTATTCTTCCCTGGCTTACTTTGTCCTCTGCTTTAGTATCTCCATATGTACGGTGAGAAAAACAGGGGCAACCTGGAAGCATCAGTGTCAGGGCTAGATTGAGAGTGTTGGATACTTCACATAATGTCTGGTAACCTATGAGTGCTCAGAAAAAGGGCATGGAAAAATATGCACAGAAAAATAAGCTCTTAGTGACTTCTGGTGATTGATAATTTTAATACTTTACTGCAACTTTCAAACTTTTAGCAGTGAAAACATACTACTTTTCTAAAGTCAGATTTGTTAAAGTCACATGTACATGAAGTTGTTATCAAGGCCCTGCACTAAGCAAATAGTACTAGAAAAGTTACAAGTATGGGAGGCATCTGAGAGACCCTACATCCCAACTACCTTGTTTGAGATGAGGAAACCATTATCTAGAATGATCCTCCAGCAAGCTGGGTGCAGGACCCAGGTCCCAGACTAGGTGCGGATGGATGCAGAAGAAAAATGCAGGTTGCTCTAGGATTTATGCCTGGGTAGCTAGTGACAGTGTTATTGGGAGAGAGTGAAAAGGGGCAGAATAGAAAGAATCACGGTGATTACACAGATTTGGATTTAGGGGCTTGGAAGAACAGACTGAAGTGGGAAAGTCAGTGAAAGTAGTTTTGATGGACAGAAGAGCATTTGTTTGATTTTAAGTTCTGTTGACTTTCAGAAACATTCAATTGGGTTTCATCTACCAGTAGCTTTTTTTGTCGATTAAGTTTATTGGCACTTTTTAGGTATACAGTATAGTTACATTCCTCATTGGGATCTTGTACCTTTACATGATGTATCTTGTTATTATCTTTTTCCCATAGCCCTGCTCTTCCTTCACCCCCCCACCCTTCCCTATTTACAAATCTTTTGTTTCCATTATTTTCCTTTTTCTCATATGTTTTTTCTTTTCCCTTTTTCCCTTTCCCCTACCCTTCCCACTTCCCCTACTCCTTTAGGTCTTTTCTTCCTATTTCACATTATCAATTATAAAATTTGAGTATTATTTATTTTGTTTTTCACACATAGAAACTATTCAGTATTTACATGTGTGTCCTATTAATTTCACTTAAGAGCATGGCCTCAATGTGCATTCATTTAGCTATACATGCGTCTAATTTACTATTCTTTGTGCCTGAACAGTACTCCATTTTATAGAAAAACCACATCTTTATCCAGTCTGCAGTTGATGGGCAATTACCAGTCACTTTTGATCTAAATGCCAAGCTATGTGTCAGGATAGGAACAGAGACAAGGAAGATGATTTTGAGATGTCTAATTTATTATTCTTTGTGCCTGAACAGTACTCCATTTTATAGAAAAACCACCTTTACCCAGTCTGCAGTTGATGGGCAATTACCAGTCGCTTTTGATCTAAATGCCAAGCTATGTGTCAGGATAGGAACAGAGACAAGGAAGATGATTTTGAGGAATTAAAAGATGAAACTGTGATGAACAAACTTTCCGGGTCAGAGAAGAGATTGCAGTTGAAAATATCAAAGGGTTGAGGGAAGAGCTGAGAAAGCCAGGTGCAATTAAAAAGGGAAGAAGGAAATGACAAGGAGGAAGGGGGAACATTTGGTAGAAAAGATTTAGGGGCCCCATTTCAGAGTCATTCTCCACAGTCTGAAATTCAGGAAGGACAGGCAAAATAAACTTGCGAAAAGAAACCAATAGTTCTTTGGCTTCAACTAAGATGTCACCAGTTATTTAAAAATAAAAAGTTTCAGAAGATGATGAAGCAGGCTGAGTCTCCTGCTTAGGAAAGCAGAGAAATTAGATAAAAAGGTATTTGATGATAGTTGGGAGACATGATGGAGCAGTCATGGCTCATTTAAGATACAGGACTCTATGAATATTTGAAAGCAGAAGGAAGAGATTGAAGCTTTAGGGAGGTAGAAGATAAACATAAATAAAAGTCCTCAGGAGCTACAAAGCAAGTGAGGAATTGCAGGCATTATTTCCAAAGGCATCTCTCCTTGATAAACATTTTTTTTTCCCAGTATTTTGGACTAAATCTTAGGCTATTTACAAGAGCTTGAAATTTCCACTTACACGCTTTCTTTTCTTGTGTTTTAGAAGAAACAGTTAATGGTGGAAGCTTTTGCTCCTGGCGCAGTATGCACCTCGCCACAGTACTTAGCACAGCAGTCATTAAATCATTACTTGTGTTGGTATTTGCTTCATGCAGGTTTTCCCAGAAGGACTCTAAACTGCACCACAGGAGGGTTTGCATGGACTCTTAACCACTGTATCCTAGTAACATTTTCAGTGCCAAATGCACAATAGGAGCCCAGTAAATACTGTTAAATGAATGACTAAAGGAATGAGTGAATGAGTGGTCTCTCCCACAGAAAATAAACACACTGTATCCAGAGAGGTAACTCAGGATTTGCATTATTCTTGGCAATAACTCAGGCAGTTTAACAAGAGCATTAATTCTTCGAAAACCATTTAGTGAATGGCTTTGCTTTTTCTTGAATTCAAGTACCTTTAACAAAAATCACCCCCTACCCAAGCTATCACTGAAACCCATAGAAGAATCTGTTTTATGAATTTAGGTTAAGAACAAATTTAGACAGAACGGTTGTAGGCAAAATACTTTCCATACTAACAACAAAATTTTTCTTCTATTTTTCTATCTGTGGACTTGGTGTAAAGATAAAGGGTGCTTTGGGCATAATTAATTAGGGTTAAAGAGCACTTAATAGCAGGTTTTGATACCTTTTTTGTTAACTGAGTATTTTCTCATACTTTATTTCCTCAAAAAGTTTCACTTTCAACTTCATAAAAATAAGTTTAGTGTAATGCAGTTAGGCTACTAAGTAGGCTTATGCTTTTGCATGTTTTCCATCTAAAACCTTATCACTCAACTAAAACAGATAAGGTAGTATATCTAGGCTCTAATTGATAAAGTACACAGAATGGACTCTAAATGCTAAATACTACAGTGACCTGTCATCAGTTCATTTCCCCTTCATATAAACTTTACAAGATGGACATTTTTCTCCTTTTAGATGAGAAATTTCAGGCCAGGAAGGTAAAGCTACCTACTTTCCCAGTGTCACCCAATGCCTGCAACAAAAAGAATCTTCCTGATGCCCCAAGCCGCATCATTTCTTTTACTGGCACTTATTCTAATTCTGATTTGTCTCCTTTTGTTTCCCAATCAGGAAAGGAGCAGAAGCCCATCACCAAATGGTTTCTCATCATACTTTCAGCAACCATCTGCTTCATGTTGTTAATTTTCTTATTCCTCTGCAGAATGTAGGTATTCTTTACATTAGTTGCTTCCAGTCAGGACTGAGTATTGAGCTTTTGGTCTCATTTTGCATTTATTAGACAGAAGGTTCTTGTTTATCAGATGGAATTTACACCATTTTTGCTCCTGGATAGCTTTTCTGAGATGGGTACAGACCAAATCAAAAGTGAAAAACATCAGCAGGTGATGTACAGAAACTGGACCAAGCACAGTATGGCTCTCAGCCTCTACACACACTTTCTCAAAAAAATTTTTAACAGCCTACTGACATCTGAGAAGTTTTTCACCTTAGTGTTCTTGATTCCTCCTGCACTGCCTCCCATTCACTGCCTGCTTCTCTTTGTGAAGTCACCTGTGTCGTGGGCCTCAGGTGAAAGGCGGCAGCACAATGGAGGCTGAATTCACAATCCCTCCACAGTGTGATCCTGTCCTGAGGGGACAACTGCTACCTGGCTCTTGAATCACCTGGCCTCTGAGTGCCTGACTGTGAAGTGGGAGATTAGGGCTGGGCCAAAGCAGGCCAGGTAAGGGGGCTTAATCTGTCAAAGTCACGAGACCTAGGGCACATGCAGAGAACACAAGACCAAAGATTACTCTACGGTTCCTGAACGCTGAACACAGAACCAATCAGAAAAGTGCTATCTTTAATTGTTCATCTACACCTGGTGCGAAACCAAGTGAGTCTTCCATAGGACAGTTTAAATCTGACACCAGGTTAAGTGAGTTTTTGATGGACAACAGTCCCAAAAGCCTTATTTCAATTATGGAGAAAGCAATGTAGGAATTCCAGACCCAAAAGACTCCCCTCCATTATTTTCATGGCCACTGTGAACCTTTTTACTAGCCTCCTCTCACTTTGCAAAGCATACTTCTTTTCTACCTTCAATATACATACCTCCCGTTAGCTTTTCTGTGTCTCTTGTCCAGCTTTGCTCAGGATACCAAGAATCTGGAAAGAATTTCTTTGGGACCCCCAAACCAGTAACAGAGTCTAGAAATACCTTGCAAATGTGGCATCCTCAGGAGTGAGGGGGGCTGCAAATGGTCTCACAAGCATTTTCAATTCACTTTGGCATTCAGTAAGGCAAAGTTCCCTTTAGAAGGTTTAAGAACATGTTCTGTCTTGGCCTTTACATAAAGTAGAAAGTATTAAAAAAATTTACTATGATAAAAGTTATATTTAGGTAGCATCCATCAGTTAGGAGGGCTCCCAATTCATAGGAAGCCAAGGGAAAGACTCAGAGCAGCTGGGGAAGGAATGCTACGATCCTGATTGTAGGTAATGGTGAGGCACTGCATGCTGGACATTTGTGGTTCACTTTTAGAAATCAGGCTCAGCGGTGTGCGCAGTTGTGGAGCAGTAACTATTTCCTTGTCTATGGATGTCTCAGAAGCCACATGGCAGTCTTGCAGCACCCGAAGGCCTTCAACTAGTATAATGATGTTAATATCTGGAAATCTGACCAATAAAGATTTGGAATTTATGAAACAAGTAGCTCTATAATTAAGGTTAGAGTAGATTGATTCACCTAGTTCTTCCTTTATTCTGTTTTCAGATATCACATATGGACCAAGTTGTTTCCACCAGTTCCAGAACCAAAAAGTAATATCAAAGATTTCATTGTGACCACTAACTGTGAGGTAATACTGAAAGTTCTTATGATATGTCATGAGTTTCCTGGGAACTGTCATTGGTTCTTGGTTTTCTCTATTACAAAGTAGGGATTTTCCCAGAAAGTCAGGAGACTGTTACTTCACTTAACTAGTTAAATTTTTATTTCCTACCAGCCACACACGCGCGCGCGCGCGCACACACACATTTTTTGGCTTTGCTTTTTTGAGACAGGGCCTTACTTTGTAGTTCAGGCTGCCTCAAACTCTCAGAAATCATCCTGCCTCAGCTTCCCAAATGCTAGGATTACAGGCCTGGGCATATAGTAACAGGCACAGATAAAACTGACCAATGTTCCATTGAATTCTAGTGCTTTAAGATTCCATGTTCCTGCAAGTCAATAAAGAATTTTTAAGGCAATTTACTGTGAATAAAGAAATGAACAGTATTAAGAAAAACATAGAGAAAGTGTTATGGCTTATATCTAGATACTCTTCTACTCCAAAGCCTTACGCGACTGTAGCTGGGGCTTTTGGGAGGTGATAGGATCTTGGGGCTGACAGCTGTTAGAAGATGGGTCTGGTCTGAAGAGGTGAGTCAGTAGGGGCTGTGGCCTGCAAGAATTTATCTTCCTCCCCGCTCCTCCTTTGACCTCATTCTGCTCCTTGGATAGCATACTGTGAGCATGTCTCCTTGGTGATATTCTCTTTGCCATATCCCTCTGCCATATCCTGCTTTGGAGCCAGCCAACTATGAACCAAGACCTCTACAAAGTGTGAGCCAAAATAAACCTCTCCTCTTTCACTTTGCAGGTTTCAAGTATTTTGCCCCAGGAATGTAAGACAGAAAGCAAATGCTTTCCCTGAATATGAATTTTCATAGTCCTAATCACCACTCAGTGCACACAGGCTTACCTGAATGATTACTTTACCTGTGACTCTCCAATCTTCCCAGGGTTATGTACTAGAAACATTCTTTCCCCAGCAACCTGTCCTGGCAGTCAGAAAGCAGTTGTCTGTGTATTTGTGGGACTATTTCTACACTATCACTTTATTTTCTTTGGTCTATTGGTCTATCTGTATGGCAAAACAATACTATTAGGATTACTGCAGCTTTATTGTAAACTTTGAAATCAGGTTAGACCTCAAAAAATGATTTTTTCCTCAAAGTTTTTTTATTCTTCTTTCCATTGTCATATAAACTTTAAAGCCAGCTTATCATTTTCTATAAACAGCTGGAATTGTGAGTTGGATTATATTAAACTATGTATTAACACAAGGAACAGAAACATCCTATCATATTTGAATTTTCCAACCTGTAAAAATGACATGTATCTTTTATTTAGATTTTCTTTGTCACGAGTGAAAAGTTATTGTACTTTACTGAATTATCCTTAAATTGAATAGTTATTTTAGAGGTCAACAAACTTTTTCTTTAAAAATCCAGATAATAAATGCTTGAGGGCCAGTTTGTTTATCAACTTTTCCTCTGGCATTGCAGTGCCAAAAGCATTCACTGAAAATGTGCAATTAGCATGGCTGTATGCCAATAAAACTTTATTTACAAAACAGAAAACAAGCCAGATCTGGCTATAGTTTGTTGATCCCTGACTCAGGTTAAGCAATTTTCTTAACAGATTTAGATTTATCTCTAATAAAGTAACACAAATTGCTGGACCATAGGTAACCAGTCATAGGGAAAAGGGAAAGTTTGATGAAAAATTCACCAAAATGGTATAATTTCAATAACCTGTGACCTCTCTTTAGAGGTTTGCAGTTTTGGTGTTTGTAATTATTTACAGAAAAGTCACTAAGCCATTAAAGTAGAAAAGTGAGGCTGAGAAAAGTCCCTCTGCTCCTGGCTCTATTCCTTTGCTTTTTCTTTCTTTCTTTTTTTTTTTTTTTTTTTTTTTTTTTTTTTTTTTTTTTGTGTTACTGGGGATCAAACTTGGGTCCGTTGTTTACCCATAGTTCTTTGGAAAGGAGAGTGTGTCCCATGTCCCATGTGTGTCCCACGCTTTGGATGGATTCATCAAAATGTGTGCTGCCTGTCTTTCTTTGCTCTAGAAGAGAGAACCACATGATGTAAAGATCAGGCTGACATCATTTGTCCTGCTCTCTCGATGGAACATCTTCATGTTGCTATCTAATTTCCTTACAGAGCCATAAAAGATTTCCTTTCATATTCTGGGGTTAGGGAAAGAAACTGGCTTAAGAGTTTATCATATGAGCTTGAGGTTATTAATTAAAATCAAGTCATGTATGCAAAATAACAACCTAGGGTAGACAAGCTAGTTTAGTAAAGGATTAATATCACAGCTTAGTATGGCCTGGCTTCTCAGGACAACTTGTTCTCTTCTCACATAAAGTTTCAAATGAGGGGGAGGCAGACAGAAACAGAGAGGCACAAAAACAGAGATACAGAGAGTGTTATGGCTTGTATTTAGGATGTCTCTCCAAAGAATCAGGTGGTCGTAATGGGGCTTTTTCAGGGGTGACTGGATCTAGAGTGTGTGATGCTGGAACTGATTTCATGGAGCAATGCTAGGATCAAGGGCACTAGGATTAAGGGTGTGAGTGCTACCTGCCCCAAGTAGCCTGGATAAGATAATAAGGGGAAGAAAGAGCTCTAGCTGTCCCTTGCTTGCTTTTCTACCTTCTGCCCACCATGAATTGTTTCTCCTTCTATACCACTCTGCCACACTGCCTTGGAGCCAGCTGAGTCTGGACTGAAACCTCTACCAACTGTGAACTAAATAAACCTTTCTCTTTAATTTTGGGTATATTGTTTCAGCAATGAGAGAGAGAGAGAGAGAGAGAGATTAAAACCAAGTAAAAGAAATTAAAAGAGATGATATGTTTGGTAAAAGACATCTAATGGAAGACATTTGTTCCACAGAAAGCTGGTTCCAGAGAAACAGAAATTGAAGCCATGAGTTATATAGAAGAGCCCGTATTTGAAATCTTGGAAAATTCTGTGTTTTGATTGTCACTCTGGTACTCTCAAATGAACTAACATATGTACCAGTGATAAGAAAAGGGACTAAGGTTTCCTGGACAAGAGGTGTTCAGTTTATGGAACACTCAATTGAGCTGCAAGGCAATACATCCAGATATGTCCTGTTTCTCCTAAACATGTGCATGCTTGATCAAAAATCTCCTTGCTCACAGCCAGGGGAATGATTAAACTAAATATTCCTCCTCAGGCTATACAGAACATCACTTCCTCACACCTATCAATCTTTGCAGTTACATAACTTACCTCAAACTTTTTGGCACAAGACAGCTTATAAGACGAACATCAAATGCGCTTACTTCTGGCAGTGCCAGTTTGGAAGTTTACACTGACCTTGAACACCACCCTGCATGTATTTGGAATTCAAAAACATTAGCAAAAATCAAGGCCTTCAGTATCATGGAGAAGAGATTCTCCTGAGAATGCAACTGGAAGGAAACCTGTGTGTCTAACCATGAGGCTACCTACCATGAACTGGATCTCTTTGTGATGATACGGCAAACTTGTTGTGTAGAAATTGCTATTTAAGAGAACTGAGCTTCAGAAGTGGCTCATTCTGAGTGACTTACTCTCACTAGCTTTGTCATGGCAAATCAGAAAATTTGAACATTTAATGAGAAATACCATCATCTGCATGCTGAGGTCACAATATTGGCTTCCACTTGCATGGGTTGGAGAGTCCTTCCTTTGGAGCCTTCCCAGCCACGGGATCTAAAACTAAGTACTTGCTCTCCAAGACATCCTTTGCAGTAAGGATTTAGCCCCATCTCTTTGTATGGCTCTTGGAATTTGTTCTGTGTAGCACAGAGGGTGTGTGGGAGACTAGAGGGTGAAGTTAATGTTTGTCAACAGCTCGATCACCTGAGCCTCATTGAAATGCTTCAGGCATTAAGTTATTTACGCAGGCTGGGTAAGAGTTCGAGTGGCAAAGAACATCCTGATTAAAAATCTGAACGTTTTCACGGTGAGACTTGTATGTGTCAGGACCATCTGTTGATGGAATTAATAAACCATAGGTGCTAATGTGTTAAAGAAAAAGTAGATATCTGGAAGCAAGAGCAGTAATCTTTGATGGCACAAGTAAAGGTGAAAAATCTAATTAGAACAGGACTAATGTTAGCCTAAGGGTCATTGTGACAATGACTATGTAGCTATTCCTGCTTCCATATCCCATAAATTGAGTTCCAGAGTTCAAATTTTCAAAATCTTTTCTTTAAAATTTGATATCGAACTAAAAGATCATCTTGTATTTTCTCAGGATCCCTATGTTTTAGGTAATAAATGTGTCCATAAATGTGGTTCAGAATGAGATATGTTTAACACAAATGACAGTGAATGGTCTAAATTTGCAAACTGGTCAGGTGTATTCCTTATTGTATTCCCTACATTTATCTTTTCTGTCCCCACTATTTGTCATGCTCTCTCTGCTACAACTATTGCCAACAGACTCTGAATTGACATCTAGGTTTCTAGTACAGTGGGCCTTTGACTTACAAACTTTATTGGTTCCCAAGGGCTGGCTGTAACTAAGTCAGTACAGCTGAGATCTGGATGTTTACCTGGGTTCATGCTATAGATAACAAGAGGCAGATGAATCTTCCATTAACCTAATTAACCCAAGATGTTTATATGTCAGCCTGGTTGTAACTTGAGGGTCCACTACATTTTCTCTTTTAAAGGCATATCTGCCTGACTTACTCTGTCTAAAACACTCAGGGAACACCTCATTATTTTCTTGAAGCTTTAAAAAAAAAATTCTCTATGACTTGGCTTCTCTGTAGCTCACTAGCCACAACCCCCTCAAATACCACCTAGCATATACTGTTTGTCTGTCTGCTAGCACCACTCTTACTGCTCCGCCAGTGATTCTACTTTAGATTTCTTCAATGGAAAAAAAGCCTTTTCAATCTTTTTTTCAATCTCGTCGACATTTTGTTCTAAATAAGGGCTCTTCACCACCAAAAAGTCTTCCTTCAATTTCAACTAATGTACTAAGCAACCCTCTTTTTTCCCAGGATACCTTTTTTTTGTTTGTTTTGTTTTTATTTTTGAGACAGGGTTTCCCTCTGTAGTTTGGGCTGGCTTTACACTCACTCTAAAGCCCGGGCTGGCCCCGAATTTCCGGCGTTCCTCCTGCCTCCCGAGGGCTGGGATTACAGGCATGCGGTACCACGCCCAGTTCACTTTTTAAATTTTATCATCATATTTCCCAAAACTTTTTTCATCTTATTCATTGTAAACTCTCTGAAATCAAGAACGTTGTCTTATTTACCTTTTTGTCCACACAGAATAGGAATTTATTTGCTGGTTGAATTTAGGACAAAGGAGAAGGAAGTTTCTTAAATGAACACCAGACTACAAAACAGTATTTGGCTTAGATACTACAGAATTCTAATGGCCGACTCACTTTTTAAAGCTCTATGGTTTCGGCAAAGTAAACCATCACTGGCCCTTCAAATAATGAAATAATTACTCACTCGCAACAGTCGCTTTGTAGTTCAGTTCAGAAACAATCTGACCCGGGCCGCAAGCTATCACGCAAGTGCCATGGCTAGTGCGCCTGCGTAGTACGTACGTTGAAAGCTAAGAGCGCCTGCGCACTGGGCTCCTCTCAGCTGCAAGAACGTTTGGCTTCATTTTCACGTTACACATGGTCAGTGACAACACAGAATAGTTCACATGCATTGTTTTAAAATTATCATGGGTCTTTTTTCAACATGGAATTGTGTCAGGAGGTTCAATTTACTTATTTAAATTAAAAGATATGCCCCTCTCATGCGATAAAACATATAAACCTGGGGGCAGTTGAGTATTGAATAAAGAAACTAATAATAAAGTACTGGTGTATAGTTTAAGGCATAGTACATATTCTCGGCTTTGTGAACTGTGTAATCTCTGTTGTAGTCACTCTGTTCTATTATAGCACAAAACATGAAAATGGGTGTGCTCTCATTTTATTTACAAAAAAAAAATGGCAACAAGTTGGATTTGGCAAGTCGATCGATACTTTTATCTGTACATAGCTTAATGGAGTAAAAATATCACATTGAATGTATTGTTCATTTTTGGTTTTCTTCTTTTAAAGAAAAGCAACCAATTTGAGAATATAATTTAAATAAAACCAAATGAAAATCATTCTATTGTGCATGTGTGGGAGGAGACAGTGGTGAAAATATTTGCGTTTGCCTAAACTTCACCTTGTTATAAGATGGTCTTGCAGTAAACATGAGTCCAGTATTTCTGTTCATACTTTTATCTGTCTACATTTTCACACCATGTTTCAAATATGTGTATGCTTGTGTCTACTCTCATTGAACTTTGAGAAGTGAAACCTTGAACTCGTTTACCTCAATTTCTCCAGGGCCCAGCACAGTATTTGACACACAATAAGCACTCAGTTCTTATTTGTTAATCACTGAATACAGGAGAAACAATTTGACCAATTCAACTTGCTAATTACCTGGTCTGTTATACGGTGCATTAACTACATAATTTTCCAAATAACTGTACTCTGGCTTATGCTGTAGGTAACAAGCCCATTTTGGTCACCCTTCAAAAAACTTCTCAGAATTTTCTACCTTCCTTTTATACATCCTTGCTACATAATCTGCTCCTTTACCCTGGAAAGATCCCATTGTTTTAATACACTTTTCTGCCAACTCTAAGAGGAACCTCATCCACAGCCCTGGCTAAGGACTCATACCCAGAAACATACACTCCATCCCAGGAAAGGGGAAAAGAGAGTTTGGTAAATGAAATAAAAATGAACTTAAAATAGCAAAGCTCTGCCTGACTGTCAGAGCTGTTGGATTTCAGAGACCCTGGAATTTTGAATTAGGAATTTAATGACTTCAAGTCAGGCATGGTTGTGCACACCTGTGATTTCAGTGCTTTGGGAGGTGGAGGCAGTTGGAGCCCAACTTTGATGACTTAGCAAGACTGTCTCAATTAAAAAAAAAAAAAAAAAAAAAAAAAAAAAAAGAAAGGAAGGCCTAGGGTTTTCACTTGGTACAAAAGCCCTGAGTTCAATTCCAGTATCTCACACACAGGAAAAAAGAATTTTATGTTTCAGTTGGGGTGCATCTTCCTCCTTGCATAAAGTTGTAACATGTTTTTAGCTCTATTTTTATTTATTTATTTATTCTTTTGGTACCAGGATCAAACTCGGGTCTTTGCACTTGCGAGGCAGGTGGCATTTAGCTCTATTTTTAAAAGTTTTATTTTTATTAGAATGTGTTTGCAGTAAATACTGATTACGTTCATCATGGGGAATTGGTACATGTACTTGACACATCTTAATTCGCTTTGTTCAACCCCTTCCCCTCCCTCTTCCACCCAGCTATGTCCCTCTATTGGTCACTCTTTTGCAAAAGATCTATCTCCTTATTTCCCATGATCTTTTATTTTGCTCCTTAATTTATTTACATTTTTAGTTTTTTGTATAAGAGAAATCATGCTATATCTAAGCCGTGTTTCTCATTTATTTCATTTAACTGCACCTTCAGACCATAATGTTAACACTGTGACATTTAACAAAAATAAAGGAGGACTGAATTTGAATTCAAAATAAATACTGCATGGATATACATATATTTAAAAAGTACACTTATTTAAAAAATCTAATGTCTATCTTCAACTAAGCCTCTCATATTTTATATGGCAACCCTGACCCTGTAGGACAACGTGAATTAGAAAAAACCAGGTGTCACCCCTGAAGTCAATACAAAAAACAGGCAAAAAAACACTTCACATTCAAAGAGAACTAACCTGGCTAAGGCACATTGAAGCAGAGAAATCACCACTCCTAAGCTGTGTGAGCTCCCTCTGCAACTGGGAGCTCGATCCAGCTCCCAGGTCACTTTTCAACATAGGAGGCTCACTACGGCCTTCTTTTTGGTTACTGCATAGCAACTAGTCTCCCCTTTCATACATTCATTTAGCCACTCTCCATCATTTAAAATGTATCACCTATTAGTAAATCTTGAAATCTAGTGTTTGGAAGGGGCCCTACACCAAGCCACCAGCATCTGAATTCGAGGCCTCTGCTCAGCTAGCTCTATGACCTGGGACATAGCTCTGAACATCTCAGCCTCAGTTCTCCATATACAAAATAGAAATAGTAAACAGAACCTGTATCACCAGGCTGATTTGTACTGTTGACTATTACTATCGTTGCTTATCTTCATATGGTGATGACATACCCTTACTGGTCTCTTGGCTTCCCTACCCATATCTAACTAATTACCACATTATTCCCTCCTGCCTACATAATTGCCTGGTACAAAGTGGCCAGCTAATATTTCATCACCACTATTTAGCTCTTGTCTATTCAGTGTCCCACAATGTTCTGCAGTTGAACCTAGGGTCTAGTTCTCTACTCCATCCTGTCCTTTCTCTTAGTAAATACAGCGAGCCCTTGACTTATGAACTCAATCAGTTCCTGAGGACTGACTGTAACTAAATCAATACAGCTGAATTCTGGATGTTTACCTGGGTATATGCTATAGATAACAAGAGGCAGATAAATCTTCCACTAATCTAATTAACCCAAGTTGTTCATATGTCAGGTTGGCTGAAACTGGAGGGTCCAGTGCACTTAATGTCTAGGTTTTGAAAGGCATTGAATCAGGAGTTTCAAATTCTAGTTCTGATTTTCTAATTATTACTTTGAGCTTCTGTTTCCATCTCTTTACCTTCATTTCGAAAATGAAAAAAGTTAACAAACCTGCATCACTTGCTTCTTAGTCTGAAGAACACTTTGAAAGCCATATAAGGAAGGGTGGAGGGGCTGAAGGGGGGGCTGGGGAATGGGGAAAAATAAGAACCAGATAAGTCATATACAGGTACAAGATCCCAATGATCAATGTAACTGTACTGTATACCTAAAATGTACTAATAAATTTAGTAAAGAAAATAAAGTGGAAAAAACACATACAATGAAGATATCACTGTTTGGTCACTAAAATACTAAAACAGACATTTTCTGGCACAGTTTGTGCTATTCCTATTACTTACTTGCCTGTTATTATAGGTAAGACTATGTAGGGAAATCCCAGTTTACACAGATTGGGGATATCCCACTTAACTGCCCCTATATTTAAGTAC